TTTTACTGTAGGAACCAAGTGTCAACAAAAAGGGGATCATTATCAACAGCATAGCAACTGTCAAGACCAGCATCTCATTCAGAAAAGTGTCCCCACGGGCCAGCTTGAGCATTGGCAGGATGTCACAGAAGAAGTGATTAGTTTGGTTAGAGCCACAAAATGGCATGGAGAAAATATGGAATGTTTGCCCTAATGTGACTGGAATTCCACTCATGCAACAGCCAGTCATCACCAGCCAGATACAGGGCTGATGGTTCATAACCATGATCAGAATGTGACAAATGGCCACATGGCGGTCACAGACCATTAGGAGGAAGCATTCTGTGTTTCTAAGCATAAAGATAAAACATACTTTTGTAACATGGGCAAAGAAAAAAAGGATACTTTTCTGAGTCCAAAGATTTATGAATATTCTGGAAAGAGTAACAGAGACAAAACAGATTTCCAGGAAGAAAATATCACTGAGGAAAAAATACATGGGAGTTTGGAAAGACTGGTCAACTCTGGCTATGAGAGTAGTAGTGCTTTTTCCCATGAGTAGTATCACATAAGCAAGAAAAATGTCATAAAAAGAAACATTCCGTGATTGGGAATACAATAAAATCCCCAAAGAACAAACTCCATCATTGAAGTGAAATTTGCTTTTGGTTGGTATTTTGTGGTGTTCCATCTGTAAAAATAGTGAAATTAATCATTTATCTTTTTGATTTTTTTATTGACTAGAGAAATTGAAGAATATATATATATATATATTTCCTGTTCAAATTCCAGCATTTTATATCATAATATTAAAGAGAAAAACTGAATTCAATGGTGAAAATATGCTAAATCTAAACATAGCAATACAATAAAATATACAGTAGGTTTGCATTTAATGGAATTGAAAGATTCTAGAAGCACTCATTTCTATTTTTGTTTGTGGACAGAGCCCAGGTTTTTGCTCACTTTTTATTCCACATATAACAATCTACAGCAGAAACATTTATATCTACTATAATTCCCAATGGAGTGCTCACCATAAAAGTTCGAATTTTACTTTTTGGTAATACAACTCTTACATATAACCTTTTGTAAGTACAGTGTGTGTCATTCCTTAACTCTAATACTGCTATAGCTCTTCCTAACTGAATGCACTTTGCTCTGACATTTTATTCCTCTTTCATTTATCTGTGCTCTGACATTTTATTCCTGTTTCATTTATCTATCAAAATCAAATAAATAAACATTATCACTAGGTATTATATTTCACGATCTTTCATTTACCCAATACCATTATGCAATCATTCATAAATATATTTTGAATGTCTTTAATTTGTTATATACCAATTATACTCCATTAGAAAAAGAAAATTTTTCTTTGTGTGTTTTACATACTATAATTTTTTGTAACAAGTCCAGACTCTGAATTTCTATTGGTGCAGTTTGGTTGCACCTATAGAAATTTCTTCCTTGACTCATTGGCATCAAGAGATATTCCTTCTATTCGTGTATTTATTTTCCTTCCGTTGTACATAAATAACCCTGCCTCTCTCTCACAACCCCAAACACTATTTGTGTTTCTGTCTTAATTAGTGCTACCCAAGTAGCTATTTTCTTTCATCTCAAATAAATGCTGTTACCTCTCACTTTGGCTCTTTATTTTTAAGGTTAACAGAAACCCATCTCCCCCAAAAAAGAATAAGGTGGTTTGGAAGAAAACAAAGAGTATGTTTTAAAGCACATAAAAATACAAAGAGTAAAAAAAAGATGACAAAAACTGAGCAATCCCATGTTTGTATACTACTTCACACCTACTATTCTTAAGAAAAAATTACTTCTAAAAATATGTTTTAGTGAAAAAAATCATAGAATTAATCTTTAATGTAGCATATATATTTTTTCTATAGTAAGTCATAGATATAAATAAAGATACACCAGTATCTTTTCTTATTAAAAGGGATTTGGTCCAAAATAGTTTCAGCTATTTACCTGATCAATTATTAACACAAACATGCTGTACTTATGGAGGATTCTATGATCTCCGAAGTGTTTTATTATCAGTTCCGTTTCAATTTCCTGTATCATAATGAAGGTGAGAAATCCAAGTTTTCAGCTTTGATTGGAGTGCAAATTTTGAGCTTACATCCATCTTCTTTACATGGTGAGTATGATGAATCTTGATTCTCAGAGTTCTGCAGTTTTCTACAATAAATGAAAAATATCAATAGAAAAATCAGAGAGAAATAAAGT